TAAGCTGGAATAAAATAAATATTAGATGTAAAACTTAAACTTAAAAAAATAAAAAGCTTTTATAAATATATAAAATAAAATAAAAAACTACTAAGAAAGCACGGAACCAAATACTATAACAAACTAAAACTAAAATGAAATATAAAAATATAAAATAAAAGCTAATGCAATATTAATAATTATAATCAAAATAATATAAATAACACTGATATTATTATCTGACCTAGAAGAGCACTGGGACCTGGAAACAGTGACATGTGACGTCAGGTTTACCAAACAGGTAAGAATTTAAATCACACTCATAATTTCCCAGACCCACTATACCTTCTTATCCCAATAATTTGCTGTTCTCTCTTCACTATTTATATTAATAAAAAAAGACAACCTAAAAAAAAGAAAACTTTTTATTTAGAACAGAAATTGTAATTTTAATTAGGGCTGCACGATAAATCGCATGCGATATTTAATGCGCATCTTGTCAATAAAGCCATTCTGTAATCAGCGGTAAATCTCCATCACGTGCGTGCTTTCACATGGAGCAGCATTAACTACACAGAGCCGTTGTTCACCGACAAGCTAATTTTAATGCAGATGAATGAAATAGCAGTTTCAACTGTTTCTCATTGTGGAAGAGGCTTTTGTGGAATTTGCCATATCAGAGAGCAAGAAAGCAATATCAGTGCATATGATATTCCAATCTTCCAAAAAGTTAAGAGATCTGAAAGTGCCCTGTCTGTAGAGTGAATCTCATAAGAAACAAGATAAAGAGGTGACCATACCTGATGGTGCTGGATGCGCTGAACATCACAGGTGAAGTCAATATACAGGCTGAACTTGGCGATGTCCTTTGGTTTGCTCTTCTGATTGCCCTGCTGTGGCTGCTGTTCTTTCAGGGCTGTTTTAGACACTGACGAGTGAATGGTCACCGAACTCCTGTCGCACCTGAGAATGAACATACATGCAGAGTCAAACACACACTTATAATTACTGACTAATTAAGGACTGACAGGCTAGAAAGATCCACATAATGCCAACAGAGCAAAACAAACAGATTAACAGATAATAGAAAGATGATAATTAAGAGGGACTGGATAGCAGGAGAAAAAGAGTGAATTTGCTCAAATAATCAGTGTCTCACAGTGACTGTACATAGGTGAGAGTCTCTTTGTCCTTTGCAATCATATCTGCCAGGATCTCCTGCACACCTGTGGCCACCTCATCCAGGGTCGACAACCCTACAGACAGCAAACGAAACAGCTGAAATGTCACATAACAACATTCAGTCATCAGTGGCCCTGCATTAACTTGTGAGAACTGCTTTTTTTTTTTTTTTTGATGGAAAGTGTGGAATAGTTGCAAATTTGTACGTTTTTTTAGAAGTAGATAATATTTAAACCTCATGCACAAGAATGAGTATAAATGAGAGAAATGCCTAGAAAAACATGTCACAATACTGTTTATGTCACTGCCTTAATATATCAACCCATAAGCATAAGCAGACAACAACACAAAAAAAAACAAAAGTACTTTGCTGCCCTCTATTGACTCAATGTCTTTTATCAACCTTTTATTGTATTTAGTAATTAAGGCTGCAAAGACACAAAATGTAAATGCATATTAAACAATACATGGAAGTGATGATGTTGGGACAATTAATCAGTTTCAAAAAGCATCAATAATGTTACCTCAAAGGACACTGAGTTGTGAATGCTGCTGTACAATAAGGTGACCAGATGTGCCATTTTCCAGGGAAACGTCCTGCCCAGGATTTCTTAATTGCCTAAAATAACCAGGTTTTGACTGTTTGCGCTGCGCAGATAGATAGTTGCATGACCTTTAAGTACCGCGAGAGCTATAGAGAGCAGAGCAGATGACTCCTTATGCTTTTGAATCGCTCTCGCAGTACTTAGATGTCATACAACGATCGCAAACAGCCAAAACCTGGTTATTTTAGGCAATTTAGAAATCTTGACCAGGACGTGTCCCCAGAAAACGGCACATCTGGTTGTACCTTACTGTACAAGCACTATTACAACAGGCTGGTTGCTGTAAGTATGCAGAGCACTGATAGATACCTTTAGTGCTGGGCTGGATCGAGGATTGCAGGTCCAGTTTCTGAGGTTCCTGAAGTAGAGCTAGTGCAACAGGTTCCAGTCCTAGCTCCTTAGCTCGTCGGGCCTTGGACAACTTACTGCCCTTTTTATAGGGAGCATACTAAAGAAAAAAAATATTATAATATACATATATAAGTATAAGCTATTATTAGGTCACTCACAGTCAAAAACTCACCAAAGGGTCAAAGTTTCACATTAATAAGTAAGCTGAAAAGCTTGTTGTGCTCTGTTCTTACCACATGGTCTATTTCATTAGCCGTTGTGCAGTTCTTTAGAGCCATTTCCAGCTCTGAAGTAAGAACCCCCTCCTTCTTTAGTGTCTGAGAAACAGATCTGCTCTTCTTTGCCACTGACCTAAGAAATGTGAATAAAATTAACTCTGTGTACTTGACTTGTGTTATTAGAGTTTTGATCCTGTTTGCTTTTCACTTTTCTTTCACGTTAGGAAAAATGAGGAAAAACAGTAATAATTTTCTAATACATTTAAAAAAATGCAATTAAGTCCTGTCATGGCAAAGCTGAATTTTCAAACGCCTTTACTCCAGTCTTCAGTGTCAATGCAGAAAACAGTTGTGCTGCATTACATTTTTGTGGAAACAATTTGTGTGTTACATTTTGAACATGTACTTTTTTTTTTTTTTTTGAAATTTCAAAATATTTTGAGAAAAAAAAAAACACTTTTCAACTGTAGTGTACATAAATAAAATGTTATTTAGTCAAATTAATCAAGAGAGAAAATTAGTAAACTGTCATTTAATCCAACTCCTTACAGAATCACAAGGCAATTACATGGAGAACATTACAAGACTTGATCTCTGCTGCCATCTACAGGTCACATGTTGTTATAGCAGCCTAATCAAGGTAATTCAAGCTAAATAATAGCCACATTGAAATATCAGAATACTTTTTGTGCCACTGGAGACATTCATCTACTAAAAGCATTTTGAATTAATTGCGAGAAACCAGTCAGGACATACAAATAAAATCGATTCAAACTGTTACTGTAAGATGGTTAAATAAAGGTTTTATCCAACAACCATAAAAAACAAAACACTTACTGTTTCCTTGAATATAAATATAGATTTAAATATTAAACTATATCTACTAAAGCATGTTACTTAAAATATAAAGTTAGTGCTAAATAGTAGATCAGTTTGAAACTGAATAAAAAATTATTTCCTTTCTTATCTCCTTTTTTGATGTTGTGCCCTTCCAGTGTCTTACCGGAGCTCTTCAAGAGTTAGCTGCACATCTCGAACAGCATCGGCATCCATATGGTTGATCAGCTCCTTTCTATAGCGCACCATAAAGGGAATAGTGTTCTCCTCCAGGAAGAGCTGTACAATGTTTGCACACACCCACTGCTCCACACCAGACTTCTCAGCAAGAACCTACACGGGATATTAGAATGTGTCCTGTTTAATTTGTTTTCTAAGCAAAAATAATGACTATCATACATTTTTACCATGATTTACCAAAGACACATGTCATTCTTTCTGTGTAACAATAGTTCATTTACCAAAAATATTGTTGAATTCAAATCTTTACCAATCGCTAGGTTTTAAAGTTCTGAAGTTATTTGAAACAGTAAAGTAGACACTTTACTTGCATTTAATATGCTTTCAATGGATATAAAATTACTTACATTTAATTAGATGTGGACAATAAAATGAGACATCTCATCTTTGACACATATATACTTATATTTCCCTGTAGAATGCTGCAATTGACCATTCAGCATCAAGTATACCAGAAAGCACTAAAATAATTTACAATAGCAAATAATAATACATTTAACAATGCAACAGATCTTCATTGTGATCTTCAGAATGTTACCAACAATTTCACGGAGTCAAAAACTAAGTCAATCCCTATCTCAGAAAGTAATAACCCACCTGAATGGGATCCCAATTCATCTGTAAGTCCTCCACACAGGAATTGCTCAGTTTGAGTTTTATCGGTCTTCCCTGGGCTGAGTTTGTGGTCTTCTGCTTCTTCTGAGCAGGTTCATCAAAGGTGAAGCTGTCATCTGGCTCCTCTTTTTTCACCTTGGGGAAATGTTGACTGGATGATGGACACTCATCAGGCATATCTCCTGCATTATTACTGCTCAAGTTAATGGACAACCTCTAAAATAAAACAAAAGGTTAAAATTAAATAAATTATTTGAGTACACAATGTTTGTGTTGGATAAATATATTTGAACTGCTGACGTCAGTCAGGGTGGATCCCTTATTTAATAAGTAGTCATTTAGAAAAGCAGCTTGCAGTACACTTATTACAGGGTAATTACTGTTGCTGATTTAAATTACTTGCCAAAAACTATATAGATGTAGAATTGTGAATAAGTAAGAAAAACTGTATACCACAGTGAAAATCAAAGCACAAGCATTATGACTTGCCTCTTCTTTGACTGCCACATGCTGCTGTAACTCAGGCTTCGGTAGAACCGCATCCTCAGTTTGTTGCTTTGCATTAGTCTTCTCCTTCTTCACTTTGGGAACCCGTGCAGCTCTGGGCTTCCTCACTGCTTTAGGTTTTGGCTCTTTAGGTTTGGCCACCCTCTTGGTCACTTTTTTCTTTTCGCCGGTTTCATCTGTCCCCCTCTGACGCCTTCCTTTAGTTTTGCCTTCATTTGAATTTGGTAACCATTCTTCTAACTCCTCACTGTCACCTTTTTGTTGGCCTGTCCTGTAACAAGAAACCAGTTTTATTTCATCCAGCATTCATGAAGAATAAGAAATCGAAGCTACTATTGTGGACTTTTTTACGCAATAAAAATTGTTAATTGTATTACAACGTCGACTGCTTAGAAACGTTCTGTGCTTAAAGAGCAGTTTGACACACCAGTTATAATTCATGAGGATGTTCAACACTGTTAATCTTCGGCAGAAACAGCCTAGAGTCCGTTTTACTATACACAATGTTGTATCTTAGCCTTGGAGGATAATCTGAAATAATAAAAAACCTGTGTTGGCCTGAGCAAACAAAGCAAAACCACTCACATGTCCTCAGATTCATCATCTGTCGCTGGTTCTGTATACACCTTTGCTGTTCTTGTTCTTCGAAGCATCTTTGTGTGGGGAAAAACAACGAATGAAAACAAACTAAATGAAATAAACAAGTAAGGATGCCTGGGATAATAAAAAGAAACTTGGAAGTGAATATCTTTTCAACTCATTATTTGATCTTATTATCAGTATATCTAAGCTATACAAAAGGCGCTCGTACGTGAGTATAAACAGAATAAGCTTCTCATAACGACTTTCAGACAAACTGAAATGATGTGCCCTATGTTGTGTGCTCAATAGCCCTTTTAATGTCATGTCCTGAACCGCTATCTCTCTCAACTTATTCCTCATCAACTCTCTCTGAACCTCATAACTGCTGCACCTCAAGACCACATGCTCCACTGACTCCTCTTCCTGGATCTTAGCCTTGGAGGATAATCTGAAATAATAAAAAACCTGTGTTGGCCTGAGCAAACAAAGCAAAACCACTCACATGTCCTCAGATTCATCATCTGTCGCTGGTTCTGTATACACCTTTGCTGTTCTTGTTCTTCGAAGCATCTTTGTGTGGGGAAAAACAACGAATGAAAACAAACTAAATGAAATAAACAAGTAAGGATGCCTGGGATAATAAAAAGAAACTTGGAAGTGAATATCTTTTCAACTCATTATTTGATCTTATTATCAGTATATCTAAGCTATACAAAAGGCGCTCGTACGTGAGTATAAACAGAATAAGCTTCTCATAACGACTTTCAGACAAACTGAAATGAAAACCTGTCCGTCAGCTGTCACGTTAAATATATGAAAAGTATTCATGGCAATGGAAAAGCATGTTTAACTCTGTTGCGGTGAATGTTAAATCAAATGTCATCAATCAAAACGGTCTCTGTAGAATCAGAAAGTCATTTTGAATTTAGCGCGCGACCACGTACGTGTAATTTGTTGTCTGAGCTGTTGCTTCTGCAAATGATCAGTGATTAAACCAGAGATGTTCACCTACAGAAGTTGATTATTTACAAAACTGTTCAAACTTACAGTGTTCCTCCGACAGGCATCAAACCATAACCCGTTTCCTTAGCGACGTCAGCAGCAGGAAGTGATGTACTTCTCCCCTCAAACATCTCATTACATTTATTACTCTTTTGCACTTTTCTTCCATTCTCCTGATATGATCTGCAAATGTCAAACGTTAATCCAAATTAATTCCAAGGAATTTAAAAGTTCCATCTTTCTCTAAATCTTTCCCATACATTCTTAACTTTAGTCCTTCCTGAATTCTTTTTCTGGTAAAAAAGACTGACTGAGTCTTCTCTATAGAAAACCTAAACCCCCAATTATAGCCCCACTCCACCACTATATCAATTGCTTCCTGTATTTTCCTAGTAACATATTCCATATTCCTTCCTTTCTTCCATAGCACCCCATCATCTGCGAACAAAGACCTTCCTATATCTTCTGGAGCTGTTCCAAATACGTCATTAATCATAATAATGAAAAGTAATGGGCTTATCACACTGCCTTGCGGTGTGCCATTATCAACTATGTATTGATCTGATAAATCCGCCCCAATCCTTATTTGTATTTTCCTTCCGAACAGAAAATCTTTGATCCAGTTAAACCTTCTTCCTTCAACCCCTATCTTACTTAGTTTGATTAATAACCCCTCCTTCCACATCATGTCGTAGGCTTTTTCTATATCGAAAAATACTGAAATTACAGACTCTCTATTTGCTTGCGCCTTTCTTATTTCAGTCTCCAGTCTCACCACAGAATCTATTGTGCTTCTTCCCTTCCTAAAGCCACTTTGACAATTAGCCAGTAATCCTCTTTTTTCAAGGACATAAGTCAGTCTATCCGCTATCATCCTTTCCATAATTTTACATAGATTGGATGTGAGCGCTATTGGTCTGTAACTAATAGGATTAGTTGGATCCTTACCAGGTTTTCTTATTGGAATCACTACCGCTTCTTTCCAAATAGCTGGTAACTTCCCCTCCTTCCATATTTTATTATATATCTCAAGAAGCTTCAACAATGATTCTTCCCCTAACTGTTTTAACATTAAATAGCACACTTGATCTTTCCCTGGGGATGTATGTTTTGCTCTCTTTATTGCTCTAACCAACTCAGCCAAAGTAAATGGCTCATCTAACTCACTTCCAGTTTCTTCCTTCCTATTCACTTCATTAAGATGCTGATTTAAAGTTATTGATCTCCTCCTTCTCTCTTCTTCAGACAAATTTTCTGAACTATGAATCCTTGTAAATGATTTGGCCATAATCTCAGCCTTCTCCTTATTGAAAACTGCGGTTTCTTCTTCAAATTCCATAACTGGATATTCCCACTGCCTCCTATCTCCCCCCATCCTTTTAATCATTCCCCACACTTCTCCCACCGGCGTCGTTCTACCTATTTCATCACAGAAATTTCTCCAACTACTCCTCTTTGCTTGGCGTATTTTTCTTCTAACTATTGCTTGAGACTTCTTGTACTGCATTAGATGTTGCACATTATGTGTTCTTTTAAGCTTTCTGAAAGCTTTATTTCTGTCCCTTACTGCCTGTTGACATTCTTCATTCCACCAAGGCACCAATTTTCGATTTACCGTTTCTCCCCTTAGGTATAGCTTCCTCTGCTGCCATAATAATTGCTGAAGTTATTTGATTGTTAACATCATCTATACTTCCAGACACCTCAACCACAACCATTGCATCATCGCTCAAATTCCTAAACCTTTCCCAATCAGCTTTACTAAAATTCCACTTAGAAATTGTATCTTCTGTTCCTACTTCCAATTTCCCACCTACTGAGCACAAAACAGGGTAGTGATCACTTCCCACTGTTGTTACTGTCAACACTTCCCAATTAGTATTTCCAGCCAGCAAACTAGATACTAACGTTATATCTAATACAGATTCTTTCCCTGTCGACACATTTAATCTAGTTCCTCTTCCATCATTTAAGCACACCAATTCTCTTTCTTCTATCAATTCTTCAATTACTTTACCATTAGTATCTGTAAGTACACTTCCCCATACCGAGCTATAACCATTAAAATCTGCACACCAGATTATTTTTTGTCTATCTTGCCCTGGTAATCTTAGAAGCTTGTCCAGCTCCAACCTCTTACATGGGTAATAATAATTAATAATACTAATTGCCCCTCCCCTTTCCCACACCTCCACCACTATATACTCTTGATCATCTCCTTTGCCCAGTAATCTATATGATATACCCGCCTTAATGAATACAACACACCCTCCTAAGTGATGTACTTCTTCTTCTTCTTCGGTTTTATGGCGGGTAGCACCAATGTTAAGGTGCATTATCGCCACCTACTGTATTGGAGTGTGAACCAGAGTTTACCCTTTCATAATAAGAGGACAAAAAATATATATAATATTTACTAAATAAAATAAAAAAATGTTTACTTCTTTACCTCAAGAAGATTTTTCCCACTAAATTCTCTTAATCAGCTCTGTTCTCTTAAGATACAAAAATAAACTTTCTAGTCCATAAGTAAATATATTTTTAAGCTTTAGGTTATCCACTCCCATCTTTCTAAGTTCATTCTTCATTGTTTCTCGTTCATTAGTATACTTTTGACAAATACAAATAACATGTTCTACTGATTCCTCCAGGAAGTGATGTAGCTAAAGTCCTCAAAATATATAATAAAAGTTCAGCTTGATGTTTTTTCTCAGATGTTTTTTCTCAAATGTTTCCACCACAGAAACGGGAGCTGTCCATGCCCAGTCCATGTTCTTTGCTCTTTGTCCACTTCCGTGATTTGCAGGGTTTGTTTTTCAATTATTGCCAAAGTTGTGTAGAGTAAATAGTTAAGAGTGCTTCGTGCTTTTTAAAATTAGGCGAAGAAAAAATCAGTCTGCAGGAAGACTGCAACAATCTGGTCAGAAACCTAAGGATTTAAACTTGTGCATGCAAGGCAAGTCACGTGTTGTATTTGACTTTTTTTGCATAAAACAAAGCAACAATATCAGGAAATGTCAGGGCTTAAATGTAGTTGGTTGTAAAAGAGAAGCACTTTTACAATGTGACACTATGAAGATTACTTTAAATTTGCAGTGTTTAAAAAAAGATATAGGCAATACAAGCTATTATTAGGACTAAAACTATTTAGATTAGTTTATGCAATTTATCAAGAGTTCATGCCATTACATAACATTTCATCTTCCATCAACAACAGTTGTAAGCAAAAGCATCAACCATAATACATAGATCGCAATGTCTTGAATATAGCCATATCTTGAATATAGCACACTAGGTCAAAAATCAGATGTTTTTACACCCAGTTTCTGTGTGCGTGTCCTTTCTTAAGATCCCAGTGGCAATGGATTTGGACTAAAAAGACACTTCTTTCTCTCGGCATCAGTACCATTTCTTCTGCATCTCTCCTCTGGCATCCATACTTTTTTGTTCCAAATATTGATGTGTTGTCATCTATAGTTTATGAATTTTTCTTAATTTCATTTGTGTATTTCTCCAGACTCTATTAACCTCAGCCGACCTTCAGATATAGGGCTCAATCACACTATAAACATGTGGGAGTTTGGTTAGTTTTAAGACATTTACAGTACACGTCACACATATACACACAAAAACATAAAACAAGACAATAACAATTAATCATGTTTCAATATATTATTTATTAATGTTTTGAGGCACACTGTACCTGAACATAGATGGAAGGAGGCGCAGGGGAAGGATCTAGACTGGTATGAGAAAGCTCTGGGGGACGGATCGCCCATTTTCATCTACCTCCATGGCAATGGGGGCAACAGGCAGGAAACCTTTTAATTACCTTAAAGGGGTCATATGATGCGATTTCAAGTTTTCCTTTCTCTTTGGAGTGTTACAAGCTCTTGGTGCATAAAGAAGATCTGTAAAGTTGCAAAGACTAAAGTCTCAAATCCAAAGAGATATTCTTTATAAAAGTTAAGAGTCAACCACGCCTACCTAAAACACCTCGTTCTAACACGCCCCCACATATCTATGTCACTATGTGGAAATATTAGCATAATGCCGCCCAAATGTGCACGCAAAGAAAGAAGGCGTGGTTTCAGGAACAGCAGTAGTGTTGATGCAGCCATGTCAGGGAGACGCTGTGTGTTTAACAAAATATCACAGTCCAGGGAAACTAAATGTAACAAACAAACACAACCACATTATTATGAATTTGTTTACCTTAAAAAAGATTTCCATATATTGGAAATTCCATATACTAAATAAATAATCAATTATGCATTATATTGAAAGTACGTGCTTTATTTTTTTCTTGATGATCGCATGACTACTACTTTTTGTACCTTCACTAAACAGATCTGCACCCCATCGTATTGGAATTGCAGATGTGAGCAAACTCACTTATTTCATTATGAAGACAGACTAAGAACTTGAATAGTGGTAATGACTGAAGTGTCTTGGCCATACAGGTCTTGAGTGCTGTTGGATATCACGTTTTGGCGCTGGACTACAGAGGTGGGTTAAAATATTGTGACTTCACTGTAACCGATAATCATTGGAATTCATTTTGAACTTGATCTTCAGTATATGATTTCTCTATTGCTTACTGTCAGGTTTTGGGGGCTCCACTGGTGAGCCTACAGAGGCCGGTCTGACTACTGATGCTGTGTACAGCCTGGTGTGTGTGTGGGGTCACTCGCTTGGTAGTGGGTGTGTAAAATCACCTTTTTAATTGACTTTCGCTATGTTTACTACAAATGTTTTAGAAATAAAAATAAAATAAAAAAACATATATAATGTATTTTCTACAGTTTGTTCAGCATGTTTCTTTTTTCAATAGTGTTACAACTGACACTGCAGTAAAATTACTGGAGCAAGGTAAAAATTCAACTGATTTAAAAACAAGCATGCTTTTGTTTGTCTCAGTGGCTCTTCATTCTTGTTCTCTCACTCTTTATGTTTGGTTTTAGGAGTTGTCATTGTAGGGCATAGTAACTTCACCTATTTTAATCAATTTCTTGATTGTGCTTTTCTTTATTATGTATTTTTTTCTTGTTCAAAAAAACGTATTTCTTGACAGGAGAACAGTTTGATGGAATAATACTTGAGAGAGTGCATTCG